AATATTTGAATCGAATAAGTCAAAAGAATAAATATTTGATAAATAACTCGATTTTTTTAAATTTAATTAAGTACTCATACTTTTATCTAATAAAGCAATAATAATATTTAATATCATCTCATATTTTATTATTATTTTATTTTAAAATAAATTTAAAATTTAAAATTTATTTACATTAAAGACATTACTACTCAATTAAAACTACTACAAATTTTTTTCAAACTTTTACCCCTTAACTAACATTTTAAGCGTAAATTCATTATAATTAAGTTTTAAAAAATCGTGTGTATATATATATATATATATATATATATATATATATATATATATATATATATATATATATATATATATATATATATATATATATATATATATATATATATATATATATATATATATATATATATATATATATATATATATATATATATATATATATATATATATATATATATATATATATATATATATATATATATATATATATATATATATATATATATATATATATATATATATATATATATATATATATATATATATATATATATATATATATATATATATATATATATATATATATATATATATATATATATGGTCAAAATAATATTAATATCAATACTAATATTTTTAAAAACATATATTATAATAAAGTTTTACCCCTTAACTAAAATTGATTAAAAAAAATATATAAACGTAATTTTTGTTATGATTTTCTAATATTAGTACCAATGATTTTAAAAAATATATATTATAGTTAAGTTTTACAAAAATCATTGATTAAAAAATAAGTTTAAAAAAATATAATGATTAAAAAAATTAAGTGTAAATTCTGTTAGAGTGTGAGGCACTTTTAGGAGTGTTCGCGGTTCGGTTCGAATCGATTTTGAAGTAAAATGTCATCCGATTTGAAGATATATTTACTTGCGGTTTGGTTCGGTTTTGAATGATTGGTTAAAAAATCTGATCTAATTCGGTCCAGTTTCTTGCGGTTTGATTTGGATCGGTTTTTCGGATATTCAAATTACAAATTATAATTTTATTAATATTGTAAAAACACTAATAAATAATAAATTTGATATAATATATAACATATACATTCTTAAAAACTAATATTACAAAATGTCATAGTCTTTAGTGCAACGTGAGTCTCAAACTAACTTAATTCACTTCACTAAAACCAACAAACCAAATTCCAACCTTTTTTTATCCTTCGGGATTGTTCTTTCAAAATCATTTTCAGAAAAGAGTACGCTACCTTTCCGTTCTACTGCAAACAGGCATCGACCCTAACTGTTAGAATGAGAACTTGGCGTCACTCATAAAAAGCACTTAACCAACAAGTGGTCTAGTTTGCCCGAACTATGTTTGCTCTGATTTCTCATACCAGATGAGAATAAGTAGGCATAAGACGACGATGTCTTGGCGAGCAACCTTCCCCCCATTACCCGTAGTTTCCCAAACTACGTTGACTCTGACTTTCCCATTGCACGAGGGAATACGTGGGCATAGGGCGGCAATGTCCTATCGAGTCTCTTCTTTTCTTTTTTCCCGGTTTAGCAGTAGTTTTTTAGATAACTTACCCATTTTTATAGACATCAAACGTGAATCTCGTTGAGTACAATGGACGTGAGGGGTGCTCATACCTTCCCCTTGCGTAACCGACTCCCGAACCCAAGATTTGGTTGCGATGACCTTGTCTTCTCCCGTTCTTTTAGGTTTTTTTCGATCGTTTCCTTTCCCTCTCTTTGGGATAAATAACGTTCGATGGCTACTCTTCTGTTTGTTTTCGCCGACCTTTTTCGCAGTCGCGACACATATCATCAGAATCGTCTGAATCTTGACGTGCAAGGTTTTCTCCTTCATCCTTGTCTTTTGTCGAACCCTTGTCTTTCCTGTACCAACAATGCTTGGTCAAGTGACCCCACTTTTCACAGCTATAACATTGTGCACCTTTTTTCTCTACTTTGTCTTTCTGATAGGAATTTACTTATCCTCTTTTCGAGGATTCAGAAGTTCTATCATCGATCTTATTCTTGTGAGGATTCTACCAAGACTTCTTACCATGAGTCTTGTCGAGTTTTCCTTTGAACTTGTTAGAACTACCATTCTTCTTCCACGATTGAGCCTGTAGTGCTTATATCGAGTCTTGAACTCCTTTCCTTTCGACAATCGTAATCTCATGCGCTTACCAACTAAATCTTTCAGTTTTAAGGTTTCAAGATTGTTGGACTCTTGAATAGCTACGATAACGTGATCAAAGTGAGAGTTCAACGTACGCATTACCTTCTCAACTATCATCTTAGCAGTTAGGGTTCACTACAATCCTTCATGAGATGAACGAGTTTCTGCACCTTCGACACAGAGCCTACAATGTTTTCATCTTTTCCCATTGATAACAATTTATATTGTCGTCGTAAAGTTTGAAACTTGACAACCTTAACTTTCTCGCGTCCTTCATAATACTTGACAAGAATATCTCACGCCTCCTTTGTCGATTCAGCATGAGCGATGCTGTCGAAATTAGCCGCATCAACGACCGATTGAATGTAGAACGCTGCCTTGCAATCCTTCTTCTTGACCTCCTTGTGAGCGGTTCTTTATGCATCGGTTGCATGTTCACCAAGCGCATGAACGTCATTCGTAACCACTTCTAGGATTTCATGAAAGCCAAATAGAGTTTGCATTTGTTTTCTCCATCAGACCCAATTCTTATCGTCAAGAGTTGGAAGGGAGTTTGGTAAATTTTCGTTACCATTTATCTTTGCAGCGATTGATCAACAATAACCCACGATCCCGGAAACACGATCTATGACGTATGATTCTTAAATCACTATCAAAAATCTAACCAGAGATCTAGATACTAATTTGTTAGTGCGTGAGACACTTTTAGTGAGGAGAGAAAGAGAGAAAAATAAAGAAACAAAGATTGATATTATTGAATTAATAAAATTGAATTACAAAGTGTCTATTTATATACAGTAGAATAATAAACTAAATAACAAATCCTAAACCCTAATTTATTTTGAGTTTGAGCCACATAATACAACTTGAATTATATCTAATATTCCAACAAATTTATTATGATAAAATTCACGTTGTGATTCATACTAGTACTAAATTATTATTATTATTTTGGGTCTAAGACCAACTCCAGCGTTGGTTTCTCATTCTAGTTCGTCAGCATGGCATATTTTATTTGCATTAAATATTACTGAAAGACATTCTAAGTTGGCGGACGTTGCATAATGAAGCAACGATGCAATGCCTTTTCAACCATACGGCACACTTTCAACGACTACTTATTTGCATTAAATAATGTATTAAAAACTAGCTGTAAAAAATTAAAATTATTATTTTAAGCGATATAAAATTTAATATAAATAAAATATTAATATATAAAGTAAAGTTGTGAGACCCAATATGAGTTCTTCAGCACTATTAGAGTGAAAAATTAGTTAAGTTACTTCAAACTGACGTGGCTTAATAAGTCCCACAAAAAATTTAAAAATGAATTCACTTATTGGAAGAACCGGGTAATTTAATATCAGCAAATTTTTATATTTTGTATAAAATAAAACAAGAAATTTATATATTTGTAATCACAAAATATCCACACCTACTTTAAAGCTATATTGTGTAATGCCAAAAAAAAAACACTTATTAAAAAAAAGTGATTACACATGAGAATGCAAAATTTGTATATATGCTTATAAATTATGCAAGTTGTAACTAGGAGTTGGAAGGAGAATATCTAAAAGATTATGGATATATCTATGGTATTGATTAAATATAATTATAATAATATGAAAAATAAGAAGAGGATCAAAATGAATTGGCTTTCACATTCAACTAAGAAGAAGTGGAAGCTGACGTGACTATAAAGCGTATGAGAGAGTATGATAGGGACCACGTAGACGATACTACCTCTAGCTAATTTTAATTTAATAAAACGCCGTTTAATTCTTAAATAAATTTAAAAAATCAAATAATTTTTTTATAAAAAGTCATATTTTTCTTGTTTATAATTTGATTTAATTAATTAATTTTTTATCGAACAGCGAGTGAGATTCACTTGTCATAAATGCGAGTGAGACAAAAAAATAAATAACAAGTCAAAAAAGGAACACTAAAGAACAACAAAAAAATATCTTCTCAATTATCTTCTCTGCACTAATCTCTTCCACAAATAAAAAATCTGAACCACCCACAAATTTTATTTACTATTTTTATTTTATTTATTTGCCAATTAAAAAGAACTCATCACAAAAACGCGCCACGTGTCCTTTGTCTTAGACCATTCTCAGCCACAAAATCATAGGTTTTCTCGAACTCTCCATGGAAATTTCGTTTCATTTTTTATTTTTCTTACAAAGTATTTTCTTATTCTGACGTGTCACGCTGATGTTTTTTTGGTTTTTATTTATTTTATTTTATTTTTTTCATTTTTTAATTTATAATCTATGTTCTGTTCTTCACTTTCTCCCCTTCTCTGCTCAAACCTTCTTCCATTGCCTCATTCTCTCTTTCTCTCCAAATTCTTCATCTGGGTCAGTTTAATTTTCTCGGAAAATCAATTTTTTCCGAGAAAGTTTACGTTTTTACTTCAAAATTGATTCTCACAAAATCGTTGCTTCAGCTGAAATCACAAGGTATACATCCATTTTCTCAAAAATAAAAAAATTTCCAAAAAGATTTTTTTTTGTTTTTGTTTTGAAGAAGTTCTCAAGATTCAGAATCTGATTGATCTGATTTGTAAAAGGGTGGTTTTGTAGTTTTTTTTGTCGGTTTCTATTTTTAGATTTTTCTCCGAGCTGTTTATTACTATTATGTAGAAAAATCAAGAGATTGTGGATTTTATTATGTGATCTTATTTTTTAATTTTTGACAAAAAAATCACTTTATTTAGGTGTGAATTGATTGGTGGAAGCTGTTATTATTAGGTCTTATCTGTGAAGATTAGGGTGTTCTGGATTGGCTCTGATTTTGCTACAATGGAGATTAAGGTATTTTAATTTTGACAAGTAACAGTTCAAACTTGAGCTTGTTTTGAATACCCTTTGATGTTTTTTTTATCTTAATTTTGCATTGTCTGAAATTACAAGGTTGATTCTTGTTTTTTGTTTTTGTGTTGTTGTGTATGTAGAGAGTATTTCATTTTCATAACTTGATCAGCATCTTAAGTTATGAGAAACAATGTTTTAAAAACCGAACCAAACATTGAACGGTTCAACTGGTTGATTGTTCTGGTTTGGATTTTAAAACATTGGTAAGAAGTTGAAATTGTCTGCTGAATCATTCTGGTTATGTGAAGTTCTTAGCTTAATAAGGTTGATTTATAGAAAACTAGTATTTCATTTGATTCCTTGTCTGTTCCCTAGAGTTTAGGAGTGAGATTATAGTGCGAATATGAATATGTTTGGTTACGCGGTGAAAAAATTGATTTTGAGTGAATTGATTTTTAAAATTGATTTTGAGTGGATTGATTATCTCTATGTTTGGTTTCTGGGTTGAAAAACTTAGAATTGATTCCGGATATGTAGAATTGATTTTGACATGTTTTGTTGCTTTCGAGTAGAACTGATTTTGCATTCCATAATTGTTTCTACTTGAAGTTGTGAATTGTAGTTTTGAGTCTAAACATGACTTTTACACTGCAATTTACTGATAACTCGCTTTTGCAAGAATTTATCCAAATATAAATCACTATCATCAACTCAATTTTAATCGTAATCAATTTTACAGAATCAATTTTTTTCACCACAGAATCAAACACAATCTATTTAAAATTGATCAGAGAAGAGTATGGTATGCATTGGTCATTGGAAATGCCACAGAAGATTCATTATTTGTATAACATTATTCGACCTAATGTTCTTACTGAAATATCACTGAATATTTGGTTTTTGCGAGTGTATTTGTGTGAGTTAGTATGCGAGATTTGAACGCGACGACGACTAAACTTAGGTCTATTTAACATGCTGCTGCTTGGTATGAAGCAGGTTTCATCCATCTTACATTCAATCCTCCACTCCTCAGGAGACTTTTTTCCTCTTTTCATAGTAAAAGAGGGTTTCGGTTTCGATTCGACTTTCAATATGAATTCATCAATTTCTTTAAACCAAACATATTCTAGTGAGCATCAATTTCTTTCATCATGAAATTAGTCCCAATCCCTTGTCTTTATCTTTTGTTTTCAATTTTTTCCGTTCAACGGTTTTACAAATCATTAGCTACCTTTGAATGTAGGCTCAAGTCGAAGGCACAAAGTCAACTATAATAGGCGCAGTTAGTAAGTGTCATTCCAAAGGTGGAGCACTGTCTGAAAATGTTGCAAAGTCGCAGGATATACCTTCTGTTGGAAACGACCAGACTCCCAAGGTTGTTATACTTTCCTTCCTCAATCTGTAACACTTGCATAGCGAAATTTGAACATCGACAACATTGATTGTTTTCCAATTTTAGAACTATACCCTTTTGTCCTGAAATTTATTTCCATTTAAAACAGGCGAGGAAACCGTATACCATCACAAAACAAAGGGAGAAGTGGACTGAAGAAGAGCATCAAAAGTTCGTTGAGGCTTTGAAGTTATATGGCCGTGGCTGGCGTCAAATTGAAGGTAAAATTTACGTACAAAATTCGTTGAACTAATTTACAATAAATGATATTCCATGTATTCGAGTTAGATATGAAGTCCTTTTAATCTTCATGCAGAACATATAGGTTCGAAAACTGCAGTTCAGATTCGAAGCCATGCTCAAAAGTTTTTCTCTAAGGTTGATATATTTTATTTTAGTAGATAATTCTCACTTGTAAAATGAAGATTATAAACATAGATTTAGACTTTAATCATTGATACTTTAATTAATAACATAATTAACGCAAAGATGTATTTTTCAGGTTGTGCGGGAACCCGACGGCAGCGCTGAAAGTCCTATTCAGCCAATTGACATACCTCCTCCTCGGCCAAAGAGGAAACCTCTTCATCCATACCCTCGCAAATCAGTCGACACTTTCAAAGGACAGTCTGTCCCAAATGAATCAGAAACATCTCCGTCATTTAACCTGTCGGTTGCAGAAAACAACACTCAATCTCCAACCTCGGTACTATCTGCATTTGGTTCGGAAGCAGCATTTTCTGAGCAGACTAACAGATGTCTTTCTCCAAACTCTTGTACCACCGAGATTAACCCGGTCAGCCTGTCGCCTCTTGAAAAAGAAAATGATTGCCAGACATCGAAATCGTCTGAGGAGGAAGAGAAAGGAACTCCAGCTTCAGTTCCTTTATCCACTGACTCAAAACCACTCATATGCACGGTATGATAGTATGATAAATTGCATGATATTCTATGATTTAGCCAAACGGTAGTTTACTGATTTTGAAATTTGAAATTCTCTCGTGTTACCACAGAAGCCCGAGATTATTTCTTTGGAAGAAACTCAATGTTTTAAGGAAGATGCTGCGGATACGCCACACATCACTAGTATTAAGCTGTTTGGCAGAACAGTCTCTATGGTTGATACTCAGAAAACAATAGAAATAAAATCTGATGAAATTGTTGAGAATGAGAAAGTTGGCTCTGAAGAGGAATCTGAGAAAATTGTTACACAACTATCACTAGGCATGTGTAGTGGTAATTGTGACAGTATGGAACAACCGAAGGAGAATCCGTGCGGTGTCGGCGAATGTGCATCAGCTTTACCATGTTGGAGTTTGTACCAAGGCCTTCCAGCTTTGAGCCTCAAGCCATGCAATCATCAGATTTTAAGTCCTGTGCCTCTCAGGCCTTGTTTGAAGGTGAGAACTCGAGAGGAGGAAAGTTCTTGCACTGGTTCTAATACCGGATCAGTTTGTGATATGGAAAATCAAAGCAAGAACAATTCAAACAATTCATCAGATACAGACGATACTCAGAGCCGAAAACCTCATCATGAAGGAGTGTTCGTTAAGAAATCTGGAAGAGGGTTTGTACCATATAAAAGATGTTTATCTGAAAGAGACGAAAATTCTTTAATTGTTGGGTTGGAAGAAAGAGAAGGGCAAAGAGCTCGTGTGTGTTCATAGATTTCTATTCCATTTTTTTTGCAATGTTCATTGTGGTTGTCAAAGAAAAAAGTTGCTGAGAATAAGGAACTGATTTTTGGTAGCTATGATCTAATTGTTTCTAATTGTTAAGTATCTCAGATTTTCAATTCTTTTTGCAATGTTTTTGTAATATGAATATTGTTCAATTGATGTCTAATAATTCTTCTGCTTTTTCATTTTACAGTAGCAGCAAATTTCTTGTTATTTTCTGTGTATTCAATATGTTTCTAGTTGATGATTGGATCAATGATTGAGGTCCATGAAGGAAGCATATGCTTTTCTCTTATTACAACAAAATTTATTACACAAGTACAAAAGACACGGATGAAGTTGTTTCATACGAGTAAATAATGTACTATGGAACTTTACATAGTGTTCTGTTTGAAACTTTGTCGAAGCTTTGATCTTGGTTTGGCGATTTCCACAAATATGACTCTACCATCCAGAAACTGTAAAAGTGGTTTAAATCTTGTCAAACATAGCTTAAAACATAGTAGTTATCAAATCCACATTCAAATCATGAAGCAGACACTAATGTTTTCAAATCATAAGATACATTGCTAATAAAAACAAGATATCTATACAAAACTCAAAATATCTTCACTTCAAGTCATAAATCAAATCACAAAAGAAAAGTGGCTATCTATACAAAGTTGACACAGAAAATTTGGTTGATTACACTAAGTTTAAGTCGAACTCATCATAGTGAACTGACTTAAAATGAGATTCATATCCAAAATAGATTCATATTGATTGGGTTCAGTTTTGTATGAGATGATTGAATTAACCAGAATCATCTTTGAGGGACGGGCTACCGCGCATGGCCCATGTTATGATTAAACCTTACCTTAATGGAGCCTCAAGCCTAAAAAAAACTTTAAAAAAGAATCAAATTTGCAACGGTAGAACATCAAGATAATAGTAGAAACATCAAAATCATACCTTTCCATGCATTCCTTCTATAGCCTTGTTGGATCCCTCTTCGGTTTCATAACGAAGGAACGCAAACCCTTTAGGTCTATTCGCGACTTTATCCATCACAAGATTGACTGATCATAGTTAAGTGAATACTTCATTAGAAACATAAACCGTCGCTAACAAATCGATTAAAGTCGGCAAATGAATTATGTATTGTAAACTTCAAATGTAGTTTGTAATCAAATTACAATGCAGATAAAGAGGTACACATTGAAATTTTCTGTTACCTTCCACAAGTTGACCAAAATTCTTAAATGCATTTCGCAAACTCTCTTCCGTTGTACGAAATGATAGCCCTAAAGAAACATGAAACAACATGTGTAAAGCTAATGTAAGAAAATATGCATATAAGCAGTCACATATAAAAGACATCCAAAACAAGTTAGGATCCTAAAAAGAAAGCAAATGGATATTGAATGAATCACGGACATGGAAACACAACACTGACACTACTAATAATTTAAAAAACAAATAACTTAATATAATCACAAGTATCAGAGTTGTTTTCGGATATGAATACTGAGATAGACACGTTTTTTCAGAATTGTCGGTGCTACGTTGACAAGAGTAATCACAAAAGACACATGAGCTTTGAAACTCAGTACAGATAAGATACTAACATAATTTACAATGAAACCCTTAACAAACTTTGCACCCTATATCACCAATCCAAACACACACCAATAAGAATGTTCTCAACAAAATTTTCCGAATGTTACAAAGAAGTATAATTGCTGATATAGATCAAAACTACAATCCAATTGGGGCAAGACCCATAAACGGAAAAGGCAAAAGTTTCAATCTTTATTAAACGTAACCAAATTCTAGATTAATTAGATGAGCAAAAAATAAAAGGGTAAAAGCAGTGCCACTTACCACTGACATATAGCCTAGTTGAAGGAGAAGTAGAAGAGGGTGTTGTATTGGAAGATGAGGATTCAGAAGCAGGAGGAAGACAAGACAAGACAGAACAACTACTTATGTTTCTGAATGATTTTGATGATGATAAGGAAGATGGAAATGGGGTTGTTGTGTGGTTGGTTTGTGAGAAGTTGAGATGAAGTTTATGGTTTTGGGTCTTAATTTTGAAGTTGAGAATGAAAGTATTTGAATTTGTTAAGTGTGATGAAGGAAGAGAAAGAGAAGGTACTCCAACAACAATGTTAGTCATAGCAGTAGTAAGATTAACCATTTCTTCTACAATGACAAGAAATTTGAGGAGTGGTATTTGGTTTATATGGGTCGGAACAAATAGGGCTTCAGAAATTGTAAAAAAAAAAATAGTATTTTTTAATTCGGAAGTTTTACCTCATACCCCTACACTTATACTTATACCCCTACATTAAAATTTTTTGGACCAAAATATCCTCGTATAAAAATTTATTATTATTTTTATTTATTTACCGGAAGACTTTTTGCAAGTCTTCCGGTTCATATTTTTTTATTTGTTCACCGGAAGACTTTTTGGAAGTCTTTCGGTTCACATTTTTTTTTGTTTGTTTACCGGAAGACTTTTTGGAAGTCTTCTGGTTCATATTTTTTTCTTTTGTTCACCGGAATACTTTTTGGAAGTCTTCCAGTTCATGTTTATTTTTAATTTTTAATTAATATTTAAAATTTATTAATTTTATATAAAGATCAATTTAGTGAATTTTTGAATATTATACTTAAAATATAAAAATTCTATAAATAGAGAATCATTTTCAGAATATTTTCTATTTGCTATAATTATTAGAATACTATGACATTAAAATCATTTATTTTAAATGATCATAATAGTAGAATTTTCTCAAATATCTTATTAATCTTAAACATTAATAAATAAAATAAATTTAAATATAGGATATAAGTTTACATTATTCAATATATTTAATCAAATGAAAACATATGTGATAAATCAATAATGTATTTTAACTTAAAATGATCACAATAAGTTAACTTGCAAAATAATATAAGTAATAAATTAATAATGTATTTTATTTAAAATAATCACAATAATAGAAGAAACAAATAATGTGTTTTATTTATAGGACTGATATAGTTTTATTGATTATTTAATTTTGAATACTATTATGAATATATTATTTAATCTATACTTTAGAACTCACATAATTATAAATATAAAACAATATTGTTTTATTACCCATATTTTTATTTAATTAAAAAAAATTAAGAATATAAATTTATTATTTGTTTTTCATATTTGTTTGATCTTTTTTTATTTATAACTTTTTTGCATGTTCTATACTATGCTTACTTTAAATAAAATATATTATTTATTTATATCTTATATTTTTACTTTATTAAAAATATTAAATAAAGTGAAATTATTACTTATATTTTAATTTGGTTGATTTATTTAATTGAAAGTTCGATTTAGTTTTTGTTTTTTGCAAGTTATATTATTATGATCATTTTAAATTAAAATACATTATTGATTTATCACATATATTTTCATTTGATTAAATATATTGAATACGGTAAATTTGTAAATTTAGTAAGATTTGTTTGCAAATTCTAAATATATAATACTAATGTGATAATATTATGATAATTATAGCAAATAGAAAATATTTCTAATTTTTTTTTTCTATTTATAGAATTTTTATATATTAAACATAATAGATAAAAATTTACTAAAATGGTGTTTATATGAAATTAATAAATCTATTATGCTTAATATATAAAAATTCTATAAATAGATTTTTTTTTAGAAATGTTTTCTATTTGCTATAATTATCATAATATTATCACATTAGTATTATATATTTAGAATTTGCAAACAAATCTTACTAAACTTGCAAATTTACTGTATTCAATATATTTAATCAAATGAAAACATATGTGATAAATCAATAATGTATTTTAATTTAAAATGACCACAATAATATAACTTGCAAAAAAAAACTAAATCGAACTTTCAATTAAATAAATCAACCAAATTAAAATATAAGTAATAATTTCACTTTATTTAATATTTTTAATAAAATAAATAATATATTTTATTTAAAGTAAGCCCAGTACAGAACATACAAAAAAGTTATAAATAAAAAAAGATTAAACAAAAATGAAAAATAAATAATAAATTTATATTCTTAATTTTTTTAATTAAATAAAAATATGGGTAATAAAACAATATTTTTTATATTTATAATTATGTGAGTTCTAAAGTATAGATTAAATACTATATTCATAGTAGTATTCAAAATTAAATAATCAATAAAACTATATCAGTCCTATAAATAAAACACATTATTTGCGTATTCTATTATTGTGATTATTTTAAATAAAATATATTATTAATTTATTATTTATATTATTTTACAAGTTAACTTATTGTGATCATTTTAAGTTAAAATACATTATTTATTTATCAATATGTTTTCATTTGATTAAATATATTGAATAATGTAAACTTATATCCTATATTTAAATTTATTTTATTTATTAATGTTTAAGATTAATAAGATATTTGAGAAAATTCTACTATTATGATCATTTAAAATAAATGATTTTAATCTCATAATATTCTAATAATTGTAGCAAATAGAAAATATTCTGAAAATGATTCTCTGTTTATAGAATTTTTATATTTTAAGTATAATATTCAAAAATTCACTAAATTGGTCTTTATATAAAATTAATAAATCTTAAATATTAATTATAAATTTAAAAAAAAACATGACGGAAGACTTCTAAAAAGTCTTCCGGCGAACAAAAGAAAAAAATATGAACCGGACAGACGAAAAAAATGTGAACAGGAAGACTTCCAAAAAGTCTTCCGATGAACAAATAAAAAAAAATAAAAAAAATAAAAATAAATAAATTTTTATACGAGGATATTTTGGTCCAAAAAATTTTAATGTAGGGGTATAGGTATAAGTGTAGGGGTATGGGGTAAAACTTTCTTTTAATTCTTGAATTTTAAACTCTAGGTTCATTTTTGTTTATTAGCTTTAAAAGTTTTATATTAGTCTCTTAATTATTTAAAATGTTTCATATTAATCTTTTTTATTTAATTAGCGAAGAATTTATGGATTGATTTTTGAATTTTTCTGTCGCTAATAGAATAAAAAAGATTAATATGAAACGTTTTGAAGATTTAATGGACTAATATGAACTATTTTTAAGTTAAGGGACTAAAATAAACTTCGAGGTTAAGATGCGGGATCAAAAATAATATTAAGCATAAAAAAACTCTATATTTATTAGAATTTTAACCGACACCCCTAAAATTATATCTGACATCCTATATTTTCATAATATAAAAAATGTTTAATATCCTTTTTAGTCACATATTTTAAATTTGGAATTCATTTTTGTCCCTTGATTGGTCGTTTTGCAAACAACGGTGCCTTGATAAGGGCTTGTTAGATCATCGCCCAATATGTTGTGTGAGTATAGGAAAAATTGGGGTTCGAAACTGTTTTGTATGTTAAATTGTTGTAAGGATACAAAAGGTTACCATAATTTTGTTAGAGAACAATTGGGAGATTGAATGTTGAAGGATGTTGTATGTTTGTATTAAAAGAAAAAATTTAAGATGATCAAGGAGAGTGTCAGAATTTGGCATAAGAACCACACACATAACCTCAAAGGTAAAATCAAGGAAGCAAAAGAAGAACTCAATGACCTTGAACTCAAAGAAGAATCAATAGGTTTGTTAGAGGAAGAGATAATATCTAAGAGACAAAGATGATATCAAATATTCAAATTATCAAACCTTAACTGCAATATCCAATGGCAGAAGTCCCGAGCAAGATGACTGAAAGAAGGGGATGCAAATAACAAGTACTATCATGGTTTCATAAACAAGAGAATAAGAGAGAATGAAATTTTAAGTTTAGAGTATAATGGCAGAATGCTATGTGAGGTGGATAAAATAAAAAATGCAATTGTCAACCACTTTCAAAACCATTTTACAGTCAGGGGTATCAGACCTTTTCCACGCAATTGAACTTTAAAAGAGTCAACAACTTAGAAAATAAGGAGTTGGCTAAGGAATTCATATAAGAGAATGTCCGTAGGGTAGTTTGGGATTGTGAAAGTTCAAAAAGCTCAGGGCCAAATTGTAACACCCCCTTTCTATACTCCCAAATAACACAATGATTAAATCATTTAGGCACGAATTAAAATTCCATCAGAGTATATTTATTTCATGGTATAAAAGGAGTGTGTCACATTACTCACGAAACGACCACATGAATATTAATGTTTATAAAGAAATAATTCAAAAGGGGTAAATCTCAAACAAATAAAATAAACGCATGGTTCTTAAAATAGGCATATTCATGTTTTCTGTTAAAGCGGAAGACTAAATCATTGAATTACTTAAGACATGATAAAATACAAGTACACGCCATTAGGTTGTTCATGACATCAATCACAGTTTACCAAACATCATCAACTATTACATATATAATGTATCACAAAGATACTCTACAAGCCTAGCTACCCGATGTTACATATCAGAGCGACCGACTCAAGAGAAAGGAGCTATACTCCAAAGGAAAATCTCCAGCAATCCTAATCTGCAATGCCTCATAGAGCATTATAAAACAGCAGAAGGGTGAGAAATATTACCATAATAACAATGCATATAATTATGTATATAAACAATCATAAAATACATATATGCCACATTTCTCAATCAATTCGCACATTCATCATTCCCACATCAACATATTGTATATATACATAGGCACATTTCTCCTAACAATCACATATACATTATGTTTCATTTACCGCAAATCATATAAGCATACACAATCATACTTCTATAATTCACATCATTTTCACATAAACATTTACATTCATGTTTATTTCACCAATGCATCATATGAAGATGACAAATGCAACTCATAGAGACCAACACACGACTCTATGCAGATGCAAATGCGGTACCGACTCATTCAACAGGTTCAATTGAAGAACCATAAATAACCATCGCTCACACCCCACAAGGGCACACGAGGTTCTGCAGATTCTCCGAGGAATCAATAAATAACCATCGCTCACACCCCACAAGGGAACACGAGGTTCTGCAGATTCTCCGAGGAATCAATAAATAACCATCGCTCACACCCCACAAGGGCACACGAGGTTCTGCAGATTCTCCGAGGAATCAATAAATAACCATCGCTCACACCCCACAAGGGCACACGAGGTTCTGCAGATTCTCCGAGGAATCAA